TTCAAAAATTGTTGTAATAGACAAAATGTGAATATTCATATTGAATATAAATATTTGGTGCATTTTCAGCCTTATTTTTTGTTCCTATTTTATGCACAGCATGGACAAAATTTAAAACTTTTTAATATATATATATATTTTTCTTGAACTACTGTAAATAAAGTAGTTCATTTTAAAATGTATTCTTTAAAGGTTAAGAAAACAATAAGTTAAAATGGCTGGTACATACATGGCTTCATGGCTAATACCAAAAAGGTATAGCCAATTTCCCGTTTATTTTTTTTCGTTGTTTGGTTCACATGTTCAAATTTAATAAATTGATGAATTTAATAATTTATTGATATCCTAAATCTTTGTTAATATATTTACTTCGGTAGAAAAGAAAGTGAATCTTCTCATCGGGACTTTAATCAATCTGCATATCTATTATCTATTTTGGGATTGAAAAAAATATCTTTAAAAAATGCGGTTTCGAGCCTATTTCTTCATTTTAATTTGGTTACAGTTCAGCAATAACTGATACAAATATGATATATTACCAATGATAAGGCCATATATTTGAAGCTGTTCAAAATTTTGTACATTATAGCTGGGACTATTATACTAAAAAAATAGTTAGTATAATAGTCCCAGATTATAGGTACGTGTATCAGATTGGACATTTTTTTTTTATTGTTCTATATAAATAATCTTACTATAAGTTATCTCAGGTCTAAACAAAATGTTACTATGAGTTTTCTAATGAGTTTTGTTTGATAATTTTTTGTTTAATTCAGTTAAAAGTTTGTTTTTTTTACACGAGAAGGTTTGCTAAAAAGTTTATGATGAGTCTCTTTTTTTCAGCATAACAAACGGATACTCTTTAATGTACACTAGGTGGACTTTCCTCTATTCCGATGAAGGCAGTGCACGTCTTTCATTTAAAAGATTAAATCGTTGTTTTGCAACCGGTACGTCTAAACACCGCTCAGGACCTCCTGAGTGCACTCAGGACATACAAAGTGCACTCAGGACATGAAATAGTTGTTTTAGTGAGTAGTGAAGGTATGCATTCGATAGATAATTTAATTCTCCATCTTATAATTTTTGTTTTGATAAAATCAATTTACTATTTAAGAAGTTATTGAACTTTTCATTGGCACGCGCCGTATTTATGAAATATGTCAGGCATGACCGATGATTATATTGAATATCAATTATCATGTTGATTAGGTCGTTTGATCTTTAATAATTAGGAGTGATAAGTAATGGTACTAACCTCATCCAAGTAAGCTTGGCAAACAAACAAAGCCAAGATGTCTTTTGAAAAATAAAGAACAATGAAGATATATTGTTTTAGAAAAAAAATGTTAAATAAACTTTTCGTTTTGTTTGTAATAATTGAAGCCGTTTGAGAAATATAAGAAATCTACATACTGTGGGAAATTTTAATTCAATTCATTTCATTTGAAAACGTTCAAAAAAAAATAGATATAAATTATTGCAAAATGTGGCGATTATTTCTAAACAATTTCATGTAGTAAGATTTGGTTTTACATTGAGCTCGTTCTTGTCCAGTATTAAGATTCCTTGAGCAGTTTTAATGTTAAAATAAATTCTGAAGAATGATTTGTTGTAAAACAGTGAAAAGAAAATGTCTAAATTTTATTTCTGAGTAATACGAATGTTTAACAAATCAGCATTTAGTAAGATTTTATTTCTCTTTAAATCGTTCTTGTCCATGCAGTAATACATGCCTAGAACGAATTTCAATGTGAAAATAAATTCTGAAAAAATGAATTTGTCTCCGTTTTCTGAAAATTGTCATATTTGGGTATTATTTCTAAACATTTTGTAAGTAAGATTGTAGTATGATTCTAAACTAAATTCAAAAAATGATTTTTTTCATTGTAAAACAAAAGAAAAAAAAATTTAATTTTGTTTCTCAGTTCTTCCCATGTTTATTTTTGTCAGTTCACTGTCCTAAATAAGTGCTATCGTATATTGAACTCTCGCCATTTATCATATTTTGGTATTTTACTGTAAAAAAAAAATTATGAACATTTCGGTCCGTACAGAAAACATGAAGTATCATTTCAATGCTGGTTTTCGAAAACAAAAGAACAGCGAGAAAGACTATTTCGGAGACTGTTGGTTGACACGAAATCCGTTCAAACCACGACTTAGTCTTCGTGCACATATTTTGAAGTGCCAAAACCCCAGAAACTTGCTCGTAAGCCAAACCAAAGAAAAAGACCAAGGACAGCATGTACGCAGCCAAGATATTAGACTTAGCAAATCATATAAATAAATTCATCTAAATATTGTCATTGTAAATATTGTACATAATTGTCTTCTCTATACATATGTATATGGTTTATTGAAAATAAAGATATACAAATTCAATAAAATTTGATATTCAGCAAACATTGTTTTTGTTTATTAAGTTGATTTGGAGAGAGAGAAAAAAAAAATCCCGAAGAAAAACAAAAAATCGAACTTGTTACAGAAAAACGGCAACAATAAAACAAAACGTTTTTTTTTATTTTCTTTATGCATGAACTGCAGACCACAAAAAAAAAACAATTTAACCGTCATCATGAAAAATAAACTGAAAAAGTACATCGAATAATACCCAAATATGATAATTTAAATACAATTAAATACAACAATGATGAAGTAGAGCAGAATATAATGGTACAACAGTGCCAGCGTTCTGAAGATCCATAGGTATCCATAGAAATGTTTATTTTTTATTTTTTTCTCCATAAACGTAAAATTTACTATGCATAATTTAAATTTAACTACATTAAACAATCCCTTAAAACTTAAAACATCGTGTTATTAATTTTAAACGTAACACTGTACTAACAACACAATTCATAAACAAAAATAAAGATAATCCAATCAATTTTGTTGATTGAATAATTCACGGCTCAGTAGTTGTGTAATCAGTGACACGTGCCCTCATTATTTTATAAGAATTGACATATCTATCTAAGTTTGATTTCAAATTCTACCAAAATTTAACTCTTAAATAAGTAGCGTGTAGCGAAAATATACAGCCATCCTGTGTGCAAATACGATGCCTATAAAGGGTCCTGAGTGCACTTTGTATGTCCTGAGTGCACTCAGGAGGACCTGAGCAGTGTATAGACGTACCCTTTTGCAACAGACGGCGGCACATCGGGCATTGACTTACCATCTTATAATTTGTAACAATTATGATTAACCATATATTTATGAGTTATAACAAAATTATTTTTTATACATCTTTATTTAAGATGATCGAGATTTGAGAATGATATGAAAATAATAAAATATATATTACAAAAAAAAAAGTTATCTCAGGTCTAGTTATCTAGTATAAAATATATTCACTGGAAATAAGCCCTTTAAAACACAAATCCCCGTTTACTCATTGCGAAGTTTATTTGCTAGTGTTTTTTTAATCTTTTTTTTTTATGATTTTATTATATTATCTTTTTTGTGAAAATTTTGAGTAGTTGAACATGAAATGGACACCGATGCTACAAAGAAAATTTGTTTAATGTCATCTGTTGCAATATATACTAAGTATTACACGTGGACAGGATGTTGCCCAGAAAATTAAGGTATTCAAAATAAGTTATACACACTCCAAGGGTACACGCCACTGTCATATCGAAAATTACTGGGTCACCAGTAAACTGGTAATCAGCCATGCAACTAATCAGTTGACTGACCATGCCACTACAATTTAAAAGGTTTGTCGTTAGATCAAAATGAAATATTTATTTTAATTCAAAATTGAAGAACTAAAAGGATTTATCATAATTATGAAAGGAAATAATTCAACAAAATCGGATTATTTCCCAAAAGATTATATATTTTTTATTTTTTTTCCGTGGAAAATAGAAAACTGTATCAGAGACATATATATATAAAGGGTCACATCAAGGATTTTATAGAAATCCTTGGTCTCATGAAATGGATCTCACACAGACATGCATAATTGAAATGTATACATTGATTGATTCTATGATTTCTTGAGAAATCAGGAGCGAAATATAACAAATATTTAGTTTTGATATTGAATTAAATTTACTTTTCCTCGCTTTAATTCATTTGACATAACATTGAGGGATTTAAGGGTTTGTCCGTACAACGTTAGTATTTCACATGACTTATTTTCGCGCTTCGCCTTGAAGCTCATTATTCAGACTGTTTCAGACAAGATGATGAAAATAACATGCAAGGCACTTTTTTTTCGATCATCGTGAAGTGCACTCTCCCCCTCTTCAAGAATTGTATATTTATAAATCCTCGTCCTTTTTAAAATTACCACACTCTTTGTGATTACCGTTATGCTATTATGCTAACAGTAATTAACCCGGGACTTGATTTACATGTAATATCAGGGGCGATTCTAGCCAGGATAAAGGGGGTCTTAATACATAGGCAGATCCAGGGGGGGGGGGGGGGGGAGGGGGGCCTGGGCCCCCCCTTTGGTGGGAAAAATTTGGTTGATTATATAGTGAATCACTGAAGCATGACTGGAGCGGGCCCCCCTTAGATCAGTCAGCGCCAAACACCCCCCCCCCCCCCCCCCCCCCCCCTTACAAAAAGTTCTGGATCCGCCACTGAAATATATGTCTCCATTAAATCAGAGACATATATGTCTCTGATTAAATGCAATGATCGTTCACAAAAAGGGGAATCAAACCCCCGGATCCCATCCCCGTTCGATCCGCCACTGATTGTGAATATAAATATAATTGTTACTTAAAAGTCATAGACTAGTACTAGCTCCGAGCACCTGTTTTAGGATATATACAGCTAATTAACCGTAATTAACTGCGAGATAATGAATAACAAGTTGATAATTGTCTATTCTCTGCTAATTAATGTACCTGCAATTCACCCTGATTCATTTGTGAGACCACCGACACTAATAATATTACCTCAAAGTTAGAGGTTCTCCGTAACTGGGAACTTCATATCGGATCCGATCAATTTATTGGTTCCATTCCCCCTAGTAATAATGATCCATTTTGCAGTGACGATGACAATCAAAGGTATACTCATTACTGTTGATTTTGCATGATAACATACATGTTATGTCAACTCACTTCTCCTTCCTACGGCGTCAGAGAGAGAGAGAAAAAAGCCTTGCAATGCGTCATAATTATTTGGACTACTTCCATGACTTTAAAAAAACCAAACAATAGTTTATTTCACTGATTGAGATTAGACTGACGAGACATTTCAGCATGTGAAATCTTAATTGTTAGTCCAAGTACACAGTTATCATCCATTGATTTTCATTTTTTACAAAAAGATTTCCTAGTGTGGACCATGTATTATAAATAATTTATTTATTTATATTTTTTATGCATAAAAAGTAAGTACAATGAAGTAGGGGGATGAAATTATTTTATTTTAGTTTGAGAATCACTCATACTTCTTGTATGATGTCACCTTAGCCTACAAATTACCAAAAAGAAACACTTTTTTTATTTCCTCTAGCTTATGTGTATGCCTTTTCATATACATGTAAAAGTGTGTTACTGCCTATATGTTGACCTTAAATGTTATTCAGTCTTCCATGGCCTAATGGGACCTTGTTCTACTCATGTGGTATGCTATAAGCAGATAAGTAACTTTCTTTCCTTTTGAAATACAAATAATTTTTTAAATATACATGAAGAATTTTTATATGTGCCGCTTCAAACCCCCCCCCCCCCCCCCCCCCCCCACCACTCCCCCCTCCTTAATTTTGAAATCTCTAAGTTTTAGGCATAGGCTCATATAAATTCGACTTTTGAAGAATTGAAATAAATCTGAGACAGCAAATGAGTATTGAGCTGCTTTACATTAAAATACATTATGTACATACATGTGACATACACAATTATATATAAATAGTTATAAAGACATTTAAAAAGCAATTTTTTGCAATATTTAAATTATGTAGGCCCAAATTTTGATAGTTAAACGTTAAACTTTAAACGGCAAAAAATTAACACCCAAAGTTCAAACTTATAGTCTTTAATGTATATATGCTATTGCCATGAAACTAGGTAAACTGTCTTATAATTCTCTAATCTTAGTTCATGCCAAGTTTGATTAAAATTAGTATTTCTACTCTATTAGGTCTCTAGTGTGGATATAGTGTATAACTTGCAAATTATTTCATACTCCTTCCTAATTTATTGCGGATGAATAACATTTTTACCAGATATTCGGAATCCTCTGGTTTTATCCATGCAGTGCCATTAAAAAATTTTGCCCACAAACCCCTACTTTTCTTTTCATATTTTTCATGTTTTTATTACATAGTTTAAAAAGCCGTATTTGAAAATCTTATAAAATCCTTGTTATTTTTCCATAGCTTTTAAAAGAAAAAGGTGCCAGTGTTAAGTGTATGAAAAATCTAGAGAGAATCACTTCCCGCCTAATTTTTAATGGCTTATATCTTAAAAACAAGCACACATACCCTTCATTTTTTCTGTTTTTTTAGTTCCTTTATTCATATTCTTTTAAAAAGCTTGTTATTTTGAAACGGAGTAGCGAACATCCTTAAGGCCAAACAAAAATATATGTCTGTTTACGGTTACCCTACCGACCGTCCTTTTGAGCGCCGACCCTAAGTCATTTTATTTCCGTCGTAAAAGCAAAAATTAACTGAACTCGTGTCAAAAATGAAGTTTGTGTTGCCAATAATATAAATCAATTGCCTGATACATCCCAATGTTCACAATCGTGAATATGACAGCTGTTATAAGGAAATTCGTGACTCATGTGATGAAATAAACACTTTGCCGCCATTTTTTCCCCAACCAATAACCAAGGGAAATAATCCAATCATTAAAATAACGGGTAAAATTGGCCAAGGATCAACTCAGACCACGACAAGACGAAACGGCATGACTCAAAATCATGTCGCAAAAAATAAAATGAAAAAATAAATAAAATGGAAATACCGACCTACCTAGCCTTTTTTTTAAAGTATGTAACCTTAAACAGACATATATTTTTTGGGGCCTAAGTAGTGATTTGGTATAGTTTGAAAAGGTCAAATATTAGTATGTCTGTGAAGTTGTCAAACTAAATTAAAGACCCTTTAAACATAAAATTGTCCATATTTTGAGTTATAGCATATAGATTTTTCTATTATGTTAATATGTCCTGTCCCAAAAGTACTACACTACACTGTTAAAATCTCTTTTGGATAGAGCCAGCACAATTTTTTAAATTTGCCTTTTTGCTCATCGTTCCGAAGGAACAGTGCGATTTTGCCATCACTTGGCGTCCGTCGTCATCTGTCGTTGTTTTTCGTCAACCATTGGCGTCCGTCTAGTGTAAACTATTTCATACATCTTCTCCTCTACTGAACCAATTCCTACCAAACTTAAGCTGAATGATCTTTAGGGTATTTACAATAAAGTTTGTGTTTTGTTACATGGTTGTCACATGTGGCTAAATATGAAAATAGGGGTAAATGCAGTTTTTGGCTTTTATCTCAAAACCCAAAGCATTTAGAGCAAATCTGACACAGAGTTAATTGTTCATTAGGTATTCAAAGTTCTATCAGCCCTGAAATTTTCTGATGAATGTAATAACCCATTGTCATGATTGTTGGGTTGCTGTCACTTAATTGGTAATTTCAAGAAATATTTGCAGTTTTTGGTTATTATCTTTAATATTATTAACGATAAAGAAAAACTGTAAACAGCAAAAATGTTCAGCAAAGTAAGATCTACAGATAAGTTTCTATAACCAAAATTGTCAATGGACCTCTTAAGGAGTTATTGCACTTTAACGACAATTTCACACAATTTGTTTATCATGTTTTCTAACTTTAAAAAATCTTCTCCTCTGAAACTACTGAACCAATTCCAACCAAACTGAGGCTGAATGATCCTTAGGGTATTTAGAATAAAGCTTGTGTTTTATTTTCTGTTTCATCAATAAACATGGCTGCCATGTCTAAAAATAGAACATAGGGGTAAAATGCAGTTTTTGGATTATATCTCAAACACTAAAGCATTTAGAGCAAATCTTATGTGAGGTAAAATTGTTCATTATGTCAAGTTCTATCAGCCATTAAATTTTCAGATGAATCTAACAATCCATTGTTGGGTTGCTGCCACTAGATTGGTAATTTTAAGGAAACTGCAGTTTTTATTTTGTGGTCAAAATATTGGTATGATGTTGATGTTGGCGGCGTCATCGTCGTCCAAAGACACATTGGTTTTCACACCCTAACTTTAGTTGAAGTTAATGGATCTCGATGAAATTTTACCTTAAGGTTCAATACCACAAAAGGAAGGTTGGGATTGATTTTGGGGGTTATGGTACCAACAGTTAAGGAATTAGGGGCCAAAAATAAGCATTTTTGTAACTTCCGGACATAACTTGTGTGTTAGTGTATGGATCTCTCTGACATTGTACCACAAGATTCCATATCACAAAGGGAATGCTGGGATTGATTTTGGGGGTAATTGCCTCAAAATTTAAGGAAATAGGGGCCAAAAAAAAGGGGTAAAAAACAAGCATTTTTCTAGTTTCATGACAATAACTTGTGTGTAAGTGTATGGATCTTTCTGAAATTGTTCTACAAGGTTCCATATCACAAAGGGAAAGCTGGAATTGATTTTGGGGGTAATTGCCCAAAATGTTTAGGAATAAGGGGCCAAAAATAAGCATTTTTCTAGTTTCCAGACAATAACTTGTGTTCAAGTGTATGGATCTCTCTGAAATTGTACTGCAAGGTACCATACCACAAAGGGAAGGCTGGGATTGATTTTGGGGGTAATTGCCTCAAAATTTTAGGAATTAGGGGCAAAAAAGGGGCATAAAACAAGCATTTTGCTAGTTTTAGGACATTAACTTGTGTGTAAGTGTATGGATCTTTATGAAATTGTACTACAAGGTTTCATATCACAGGGGGAAAGCTGGGATTGAGTTTGGCGGTAATTGCCCTAAACGTTTAGGAATTTGGGGCCAAAAAACAAGCATTTTTCTTGTTTCCAGACGATAACTTTGTGTTCAAGTGTATGGATCTCTCTGAAATTGTACTGCAAGGTACCGTACCACATAGGGAAGGCTGGGATTGAGTTTGGGGGTGATGAATCATAAGGGGGTTCAAAAAATTTGGGGGGATTTTTTTTACTTTTTTTCCTTTTGTTTTCTTTAAAATTTTCCATTTTAAATTGGTTATTTCTGATTTATATATAAACGCAAATAATAATGATACGGTTTGAATAGGTAAATTAGAAATTTTTAAGTTCTTAGACCACATTCATTTTGTGAGCCTCTTGTTTTAATTGCTTCTGTAAGTAATATATTAATTTGAAATTTTGACGACAGACACATACAGATTATACTGTTAACAATATTTCAGAGTTTAATGTTGTCAAGCACACAAATCATAGAAAAATAGTTAATCACGTAATTGTTGTCCATTGAAAAATTAGTATGAACACGATGAAAAAGTATGGGAATGTTTGTTTGTTAAACTATTGACCGTGGTTATGTCTTTTGAAACTGTTGACTGGCAAATAGTCTGTGAAATGAAATAGCACAAATATTTCATTCTTTTTTATATCATGGTATATAGAAAAACACATACTGATGTATAATAATAGTTATAGTGACTGTCATTAAATTATAGTTTTTACCTTTTTTAAGTTTAGGGCAAGAAATATAGAAGATAAAGAAAAATATAAACAATTACAACTGTACAGTAGAAATGATCGGCAAAACAAGATAAACAGAAGACAACAAGGCCTAAATGGTAAGACCACTTCTATATAATAAAAGTGATTGCCCTTGAATGATGACTATTATAAAAATAAGAAGATGTGGTATGGTAAATGAGTTATCTATCCACCAGAGTTCAATGAAGTGGATGCAAGCAATTAAAGACCAATGACATCCTTCGATAATGAGAAAACCCATACCTTATAAGTCAGCCAATAAAGACCCCAACATGAAAAGATTTAAACAATCCAAATTAGTTCAAAGCCAATAACAAGTAATAAAAAAATCATGTCTGTGAGCACTCCACCTAACCATAATCTAGGACAGTGGTTCAAATAGCACAACATATGAACAAACTGTAAAAACTGTTGCAAGTGGCTCAACTCATTATCACTGCAAGGCACTAAAACGACTGATATTAAGTCGTGGACACAAAGCACTGAAATAACAGAACTCATAATCATGATTAGTAGGAATATCAAATTTAAGTTTCTCAAAATGTTCATATTAAACATGATAAAATAAGCTTATTTCATATTGCTGATTTTTCCTCAATTTATATTTTGTGTATTTATAGGTGCAGAGACTTCTTGGTTTTCATGATCATCAACAGATCAATACAGAAGAGGAAACTTAAGGTTAATACTTTTCTACATTGTGTGCTAATTGGATTAATGTGAAATGAAATGTGTGCTTACCTGGAAAAAGAAAATAGGAAATTTCTACAAAATGGCTGTAAACAAAATGGAGTACAATCATAGATGCACAAGAACACAATTGTGTAATTGCAACAACCTACACTGAAGGATTAGGGAGAAATGTAGAAAAAATAGTATTTTTTTGTTGAAATAAACACCTGCTTTATCCATTCATGTACATAGCTCTGTCATATCAACTATATAGAGGAAGATGTTTGAAGAACAAATTGCAAAAACGTATTCTCTACCAATTGAAGGAAGATGTCTGGTGGATGGAATTATTTATGCACTGAACTGTTTTGTAGGGGATTGAATAATTGTACGCAGCAGAAAAGTTAAATTAACATGAAAAGTGGTTATTTTATTTAATCCGCAAATATGAGCACAATATTAATAACATCACAAATAGTATGATATTCATAGCGTTTTGCTTATTATTGTATTGTCTCAAACAGCTAGCCTATTGTTTTTCTATGTCATGATACTCATCAGTGAACATTTTATTAAAGTTTTAATTATCTTTTGTATCAATTATTCAGTCTCAGGAAAAATTATATTCATACTGTTTTTACTGTTATGAAATTTTCATAGAGGAAAATTGAATAAGAGAAATTTCCATAGAGGAAATTTGGAGAACAATGTTTTCCTTAGAGGAAATTTGTGGTCTTGAATTTTCCCTCAAGGAAAAGTGTTTGTCAAAAATTTCCTCACAGGAAATTGCTGTTGACAAAATTTCCTCACAGGAAAAAGTATTTCCTCAAAGGAAAATTTGAAGCCGCAAATTTCCTCACAGGAAAAAGTATTTCCTCAGAGGAAAATTTGAAGCCTCAAATTTCCTCAGAGGAAATAGAATTTCCTCAAAGGAAAATTTGAAGCCGCAAATTTCCTCACAGGAAATAGAATTTCCTCAAAGGAAATATTAATGCAGCAAATTCCCTAAGGGAAATCTTTTTCCCTTGAGGAAAATACAATTTCCCTTAAGGAAAAATCTTTTTCCTTCAGGGAAATTTGATTTCCCTTGAGGAAAACTACTTTTCCTCTGAGGAAATTGTTGAAAAAAGGGGCATAACTTTTTCAACAGTGGTGCTAGAGCCAAAAATTTTTAGGACAAATATCAGGGAACCAATACCAACCAAGTTATCAACTTCATTTTGACTTAACTCCAAAAATTAAGGTGACAACTTTTGCACTCAGCGGAAGTGCAAACTTGTCCCGGAGACTGTTTAAACCTTGATATTAACATACATTTTTTTGCTATTACCGGGCTCCAAAGAAAGCATCAATTACCGAAAATACATGTGCAAAAGACAACTCAAACAGTTTAGGAATAGTGCAATCGTGATTGCTCGTAGTGATGGAAAATATTCATAAAACAAACTAACCAACCAACGTCGCAAAGTAAGGAAGAATGCCATGTGCAGTAAAACCGGTGACATAGACCGTCTTAAATGTACAGTAAGATGTATGCTTTGGCTCTGTTTTGAAACACTTACTGTGACAACAATAAAAGTGTTGTTCCTTTGTCTAGTGTTTTGTGACATACATTTATACGCCCCACACCTCTGCTTATCCATAAAAATCTAATACAAAATATGTTTTTTTGCGTTTTGTAATATACTTTGACATTCAAGACAACGTAAAAAGAAGCTTATGTTTAAAATACATTAGACAATATGAGAGTCTTCAATTCTGTAATCTTGTAGGCACCCAATTATCCTCTATTCTTTTTTATACCCATTCAAGGTATTCTTTATTTTTTCCAAGAATATACTTTTTTTCTATTAGCCCCACCAAGACCCTCAAATATGACATGGATCATAATCTTGTCCATTTTGTTACCGATATGGCTACAGTATTCGTCAGTGTCACTAAATAGCAAGTTAGAGTTCGAGTTAGAGTTGAATTAAACTTCGAAGTGTAACCTGAAGTAAGATTCAATTGAACTTGATCTCTAACTTTGTCTGGAACGTAAGCCTCAATTCTAAGCATGACCCCAAACAAACTGTTAATTTCAACTGGAACTATAACTCAAACTCTAATTCGAAACCTAGTTCGAACTTTAACTCGAACTTGAACTCTGCCCTTATGGTCAGCCAGACTGGTTATTCATAGTTTGACTACGTTTGATATTTTCTTAACGAAGAGATGCTAAGGGAGGTACCATTTGATTATTATGGGGAGGCTAGGATGAAAAATGTTTTCCTGCATTTATTTTAGTTGTAATCTCTGTCCTACCTTTTCATTTTTCACTCCAATCGGTCCTGCCGTTTTTTTTTTATTAGTTTATCCTGCCTTTTTTTTGCCAAGTTGCTCATCCTGCCTTTTTTTTTACTCAAAACTCCTGTCCTGCCTTTTTTTCCAAATTTCATCCTAGCCCCCCCCCCCCCCCCCCTCCCCCCCACATAAAAATAAAACACTATAAGCATTAACTTTCTCCTTTATACAAAAGTATTGAAAAACTACACATGATTACAATCTTATTATTTGAATAATGTTTGACCTAGATATAAATCTAATTATGTGAACTCCAGCCGAACCCGTTCTTAAAATGGAAACTTTTATGACAATATTTTTCGCTATCTATTTTCATTTAAGAATTTGATTAACTAGAAAAATGATACTTGATTATTATCAACAATACCACGTTCTTCGTCCTGAACATGCATGAAATATTTGCCTCCGGACGTTAAGCAACCAAAAACCAACCAATCACCAATCAATCATACATCCTCAGAAGTACAGAAGAATTTTCATTTCAATTTTCTGTCATTAACATTTAACATAACAACAACAAAACATGTAGGATCCTCTGCGGTCGAATGGTGTAGATTTTTCATCTGAATTGATCACTACCCTGTCAGTTCTAAGTTTCTCGTGGAGAGTTGTGTTCGACTCCAATCTTAATTGACAAGGATTACTAGTTTTCTTGCTGAAGGTCTGTAGTTTTCTCCGGTACTCCGGATTCCTTAATCAATAAAACTGATCACCATTCTTTAGCCAAGGTCACTGAAAGTATAGTATTAAGAACCAACAAACAAACAAAACACGTTATGACATAATGAGGGTTGAAATCTCACAAAACATGTTTAACCCCGCCGCATTTTTGCGCCTGTCCCAAGTCTTTAGTCTTGTGTTTTTTTTTTAATTTTAGTTCCTTTATATGTTTTGGAGTTTAGTGTGACGTCCATTTTCACTAAACCAGTACACAATTTTATTTACGGCCCAGCTGAGGACCACCTCCGGGTGCGGGATTTTCCCGCTGCGTTGAAAACCCATTTGTGGCCTTTGGCTGTTATCTGCTCTTTGGCGGGGTTGTTGTCTCTTTGACATATTCCCCATTTCCATTCTCAAATTTATCAATAAAACGACTGTATGCTCGAGGCAGAAAAAAAATTCCCGGAAATTCATGCACGTCAAAGGTTTTCTTTTAAGTAAAAAATAAGACAAGGCATATCCGGTCACCTATAGTTGCTAACCTTCTTCACCAATTGGTCTCTGGTGGAGATTTGTCTCATTGTCAATCATACCACACCTTCTTATTTTTAAACCTATTAAACTTCTGTCTGTATTTTCAAACTCAAAACTAGCAATCACAACCAATGCTCATCAACTGTTACATTTTCATACATAATTAGAATCCAGCCAGTCTTACCAAAGCATGGTTAATAACCAAGTTCTATATTCATATTTATAAGCTGTCAGACTCTTCAGAACGTCTATAATTACAATTATACTGATTCGATTTCGAAGTTGGTTACATTAGTTGGTTAAATTCGATAGTTGGTCATTGGATATTGAATTATTGAAAATGAAATAGATTGTCATATTGATGTCAATGATTTTTATGATGACAGTTTAGATAATATAATGTTCGAAATTTTTTCTGCATTTTTTAGGTTGGAATATCACTTGTTTAGTTAGGGACCTACCATTTGATTTTTATGGGGGGGAGGGGGGCTAGGATGAAAGGAGTAGGTTCAGTGAGACCCCTTTTTGGCCCCAAAATATAGCAGTTTTACAAAATAGTTAAAAAGTAAACTTTTAGCTATTTATTGGAAAGTAGAATACTTCTGTTTCATAAATATGGGCTGTTTTTGACAATAGAATGCACATGTATCGGGAACTAGCATCATTAAATCATGCTGAATTACTGAAATCTTCACATTTTTAGCATTTGAGTTAATTTTTAGACGGTTTCCGTCTTAAATGGACGTGGCCGCATTTGTGTTCATTCTTAATATTTAAATGTAAGTTGTATTTGATGATAATACATAACATATATAAAGGTTGAGGATGAACACGGATGCGGCCACTTTCATTTTTGACAAAAACCATCTGAAAAGTGACATCTTATGGCATATTTGATAGATTTTTAATATTTAAGCTTCGAATTGAGGGTCTTTAATGACTAAATCAGTTCAAATCTTTCACATAAATTAATTGAATGTACTAAAGTAGACACTTAAGTGTTTAAAAAGTGTCCAAAGTCTTTTATCAAATGAACCTGAAATTTGGGGCCAAAATCGGCCTTTACCGGACCTACTCCTTTGAAAAAAATAGGCAGGAAAGGAGTTTTGAGTAAAAAAAAAGGCAGGATGAGACACTTTGCAAAAAAAAAAAAGGCAAGATGACAATTTATGTAAAAAAAAGTCAGGATAAACTAAAAAAAAAGGCAGGACCAAATAGAGTGAAAAATAAAAAGGCAGGACAGAGATTACAACTAAAAAAAAATGCTGGACAACATTTTTCATCCTAGCAACCCCCCCCCCCCCCCCCCCCCAACCACCCCCCCCCCCCCCCCCATTAAAATCAAATGGCAGCTGCCAGGTCTATCAAACAATCTTTTACAGCATACGCTCTAAATTCGGATAATATCGCATTAAAATTGAGTTTTGAGGTAGGTATGGATTTGACAGTAAATAGAAGCCAACAAAAAAAAAGGTTTGGGTTAAGAATAATAAGAATTGAACACATTTTTTCTAGTTGTTATTTAAGAAATAATTCAAGTGAGCCTTAGCTTCATTTGGAATTTGTAGCTTTTATCTTACAGGGGGTAAAATAGAATAGCCATACACACTTTGCTTCAGTTTTTCAAATTACCGTATTTGTCCTATTAGAAGTGAAATAATTCATGCAAGCCATAGATTTGTTATCATTTTCACATGTCCTTGGTCGTTATATTCGTTAATTCTATCGCTCTTTAACGCTCGAGATGTAATTCGAATATAACGATCCAGGCCATGTGAATAAACGTATTTACACTTTTGTATTTAGCTGAATTTTGTCTCCGAATGACCTTTGATCTACTCCGAATAACCTTCTGACGTCAAGCAACAATCACTTTTTATTTGTGACGTCAGATTTGTTAAATTGTGATGTCAAATTTTACGGGAACTTGTGTGATATTACGTAATGGCGGACAAATTTGCATACAAGTGTAAATACGCCTATTTTCAACAAATCTATGGCTTGCATGAATTATTTATTACGTACAACAATTTATAATATTCATTTTCAGCG